TATATATTGATCCATTGGTTCTATATCTAATGATCAAATATTATAGAAACTAAAATGAAATTAGGCTATTATTTTGTGATAATCTAGTACCACGAACCTAGCCCATTCAAGAAACGAGCTATGGAAGCTCAAACTATTTATGATTTTGAAAGCCCAAGCCATAAGTTAATTAAAATGCCAACAATTTAAGATACTAAGTTTAAGTAAATTTGATTACAAAGATTTAATGAATAACTAGGTTGCCTCATCTACATGGTATTTTATATGGGCAACATAGGTTCGAATTACCACGTAGATGTTTTTATAAAACTTTTTTATAATTTTTTAATGGCTTAAAAACTCTTCAAATTCTTAGTTAAAGATCCCATTTAACAAATTTAATGATAATATAATTCCCCTATTTAATTATTCATTAAAAATGAATGTTACAAGAAGTGGAATGTCACTTTTTCACTACATCTCTCTTCAAATCCGAATTTTCTCTTATTCTCTCTAAAAAAATATATATATTTCATGTCAAGTTAAGCTAAGGGAATATTATTACAAGGGTGAGAATAAGAAAGACTTTTTACACGTTTTGTTTTTTGATATCCAAGAAAATTCAAGGTAGTTAGAGGTGTAAGTATTTATTTCATTTTCAAATTATGATTTTTCGATAAATGTTTGAATGAAATGATACCTCCGGGTACCGTGGATTGGCACAACAACAGTTTGAATGATCATTCTTTGGCTCTACGTGTTATGATAATGCTATAGTAATTGAATTTTATCTAAAATCCATCTATGTGCGATCATATGAATCTATAGTTCAAAATTTTTAATTTGATAACGAAATGCACCGATGATATCTATTGAGTTTCAAACTCATGAGTTAATTCCCTTCTTACAATTTGAATGGATTTTCTTTGGAACACGAATAATGGTAAAGGATGATGCGACATGTCATGGAGAAGTCGGTGATTTAATATCTTTAGTTGATTATGAAATGTTTAAGTTTTCTTTAAATTAGATTCCTATGGATATCGTGTGTAGATCTATTCTTTAAACATTCTTTTATGAATAAATTATGTTTGAAAGTAGATATGTGTCATGGGAATAAATTTATAAATCACCATTTACAAAAATATGTTAGCAATTTAAAGTTTTGCTGTCTTTTCAAAAATTTCAGTTTCTGCCTCATCTTTAAAAATTTATAAATCTTTCGTTACTTGGCATTTTTATACAAAGTTAGTGGCGTTGGATAGCCTCATAAGTTAGCTACTGAATGAATTTGAAATCATGTCAATCCAATGTCGGTAGGATTTTATATGTTGCATAAAGTAAACTACACTGGTAAAGTTGCCCTTTTTCCAGCTTCTGCCGTGACTTCAAAAATTCATAACTCGATCGTTATTTGGAATTTTTGGATGAAATAAATTGGATTTGATAGTCACATGGATTAGCTAATGCATAAATTTAAAATAGTATGATTTTGATATTTGTGAAATTTTATATGTCATTTTAAATGAACTGCATTGGTTTACCTTTCAATCGAGTTGCTGCTGGGTTTTAAAAAATATTTTAATACCACATATGATGCCGACGGAAGCTGATTTTTTACTATATCATATTATAAGGAGTTTTTTACTTTACATTAAAATTTGATAAAGTTTCGAGGTCGATAGTTATGTAAACGAATTTATTTTGACAATTACTGTTTGAGACAAAAACTAAAACAGCAACATTACTTTTTAAGTTTTGCCAAAAATTTCACTTCAATAGTCGTTACTTGTATGGAACCCTTTCTAAAAACATTTTTGAGATTGTTTTCTTAGTATTGAATTATTGTTAAAAAAATAAATAAGTTCTTCAATTAAATTCTAAAATTTAATATTTATACCTTCCACTAAAAAAATATAATTAAATAAATTTACAACTAAAATACAGTTAATCTAGTGACATTTCAATCCATGCGGGTGCGAGCGTTATATTTGTAACTTGATTATCTTTAATAATCTTGAAGAAGATGATCTAGATTTTGACAATCTACTACTAAAACAACAAGAAATTTGAGTTCATACAAAAGATTGAATTAAAAATACACTTTTTCTTTACATTAAAGCTATGAATTTATGTAAAATATTTAGATTTAAATGTTTATTACTTTGCTGTAAAAGAAAGAAGAAGTACATGAAAATTAAAATTTTGACGTGAGATAATTTTAGGATCTAGTGTTTAAATAATTGGTTCATATTTGTGCAATATATCTGCAAAAAGAGAAAATAGGGAGAGTAGAATTCATTATTGTTTGTAGGGCTGTACCAAGAATCAATCGAAACCAATCGATTCTCAATGCATGGCCAATCCATTTAATAAAGGAATTGGAGCTGAACTGGCCAAATCTATTTGGTTCTGGTCCAATTCCATCACTTTCGAGAAAAAAATGTACACCCCTAGTTAAAATGCCTTGTGGCGGAGCGTTCCATAATGGAAGAAGTAGATCATTGCAATTCTCTCTACTCTTTTATTTATCTTTATTTTGCTAACGATTAGTGTTTGATTGATCTACATGAATTTTATTTGCTTTGTTTGAGATTAATATTTGAAAAAGTTTCAGAAAACAAATTCACTTGGATTATCAACACCATTATCTGAGAAGGAATTGGTTTCGGAAGTGGTGGATAGGGAAATTTTAAGTGCTATTGCTGCTGAGGATGCTAGTGGATTTCTGAATATGATTGCCGAGAAAATGACGAAAATGGTGGAGTTTTGAACAGTTTTGGATTTTGTTTAGTTCTCTCGGCCACACTTAATTGTGGAAATGTTGACTTGTCACTCTTGACTTCTCAGCGGTGCCTTCCAACTTCAACCCAGATAGGCCAGAACACGTGTGTGTCTATATGTAATGTTAAAAGACTAAATTGAATAAATAAAGACGTCCTTCACAAACTGAGGGTGTGCTCGAACCCCTTTAATTTTGAAAAATGTATTATTTAATAGTATATTGATGGTGAATATATAGTTAAAAAATAAGGAAAATTTTTTTCGTTTGCGTGTAATATTATTTTAATAAAAAATGTATAGTTAAAAATGAATACTGCAGAAAAATAATATAATAGAATATAAAATAATGAATGACAAACAGAGGCTCTCAAACAAAGCAATTGACATTGTATCTCTACGCTTTAAGAGGCGGCAGTTTTAACTTTATAAGTGGTATGATGCCAGCAAAGAAAATGCATTTAACTCTTGCGGCCAAAAAAAAAAAAAAAATTGAAAAAAAAAAGTCTATGCATTTTTTTCAGATGTAGGTCGTGCTTAGTTGTTTTCTGATTTATGAATACGTAAATGTACAGTTTTTAGAACTAATAAACTAAAAGCATAACAAAGACGGGTACATTGAATAACCTAAGCCCTTATTTGGCGGACTTAAAAAAAGAAAAAAAATTTAAAACATAATTTTAAATAGTGTTTTTTTTTTGAGAATGTGCGTTTGAAAAGTATGAAAAAATCTCTGATTTATGTATAAAATATTTAAAGGCCACCAAACAAGGGTTAAATAAACTTTAGTTTACGGATCCTTAAATGCAGTTTTTGGTCAACGGAGTTCCGTTTATCTTTCCTTTATCGGACGACGGCAACGAAGTATATTAACCTCAGTTGCTTGATAGTTTAGTTTTTTCAATTAATAGCAATGTTGTCAAGAACATATGGCAACTAAACTACAAATAGAACTCTACTATTCAACAATGAAAAATGTTGGTTGTACAGAACACTTCAGAGAGCACCATTTCTCAAAAACCAAAGCAAATTAGGGAAATTCCAGCATTAAAAAAATAACCTTTAACAAACGACGCCAGTAAACGTGCTTTCAGCTTAGCCAAAAATGCTCAAGCAGGTGTATCCAAAATTATTTTCCAAACAAGCTTTAAGTTTATCCAAGCATGCTCAAGCAGTTCGATCAAATTGAAAAAGAGAAGTACAACCAAATCCCCCAAAGAAGAAAGAGGAGGAGGCAGGAGGAAGAGTGGGGAGAGGAGGAGGAGCGGGAGGAGGAAAAGGAGGAGGAGAAGCAGCAGCAGCAGCGAGGAGAAGGAAGAACAAGAACAAGAGCAAGAACAATAACAAGAAGAAGAAGAAGAAGGAAATGGAGGAGGAGATGGAGGAGTAGGAGTAGGACGAGAAGGAGGTGGAAATGGAGGAGGAGTAGGAGTAGGAGTAGGAGTAGGAGGAGGAGGTGGTGGAGGAGGAGGAGGTGGAGGTGAAGATAGAAGAAGAAGAAAAAGAAGAAAAAGAAGCAGAAGAATATTTCTCAAGGATACAGAGAGGCTCCAGCAGCTCTTCTCTTTAGCTTTATCAATCTCTATTTGATGATAATCCACACAGATGAACAAACCATGAAAAATGCTACAATCAAGAAAAATTATGCATCAGAAGAGAGCATAAACAGGGCATAACTGAGAAAGAATGGCTGATGCTTCCAATAATCTCGAAATAGTTAAAAAACACAAAAGGAAATAAGATATGCATCCGGCAAGACAAAACAAGACTGGCCTCCAAGGATGAGGGCTCAAGAGGAAGGACATAGAGATGATACCATAAAAAAATAAGCAAGATAAGGTGGAATTTATCCTTAACAGTTACCGCCAAAACAACGGATCATAGCTTTATCATATTAATTACATCCTCACGGATAGAGCAATCCCCACGACTCGAGACAATGAGAGAATCTTAAAATTAAACCGAATTGCTTCCCAGTTTGATTATACAAATTTTTAGTAATTGAAAATCTATCATGCACAAGTCAGAAAATAATTATTATAATCTTTCCTTTAGTTTAACATATCTAATTTTTATATAAGACAATAATGGAAGTAGAAAATATAAATATTCATAAAAATACTCATAAAGCTCGTGGCTATGGAGGGAATCGCTGCTAGGCTTAAATTGAGCAAACAAATATGTAATGGGTGAGGTTTGTTCGCAACCTCCAAACTCAAATCAGTATTAAATCACAGAACTCAAAAGGAAATTCAGTAACCTAGTAAATTAATTGCAATAATGGTTCACTTACAGCAATTAATCATAAAAGAAGATATGAAGAAATGGAATGAGAAGAGGGAAAGAAATAGAATCTGAAGAAGGAAAATCGCGCATACACTTTGCACACCCACTATCTGATGTTATTAAGATGGTTAAAACAGAAATGAAAAGTAAGGGAAGAAATGAAAAGTGAGTTTCCCATTTTACAATCAATAATTTTAATTAAATATTGCCGCATCACTTAAAGCCAAACAACGTCATATTCTTCTAATTCAAGCTTCAGTTAAAAACGGTTGCCTCTGCTGTTCCTCTTCCGTTTTCCTCCCCAGTCCAGCTGAGTTCCAACCTTCTCTTCATAACATCCCTCCCCCTTAGCATACCCTTGTCCCCAAGGTTGAAATGCCAGAAATTTGGATTGAACGTAAGCTGATTCCTCCCAGGTAGCATCAGCTGGTGTAGTTCCTTCCCATTGAACTAGCTATTGGGCGACAGCTAGGCCATTCTTGTTAATCAGTCTCGTAGATAGTATCTGCAGAGGTTGTCCATGAAACTGCTGGTGCTTGTTCTGATCTGGGAGTTCAAAAATTGGCACTTCTTTCTCTCTAATTTTTTTCTTCAATAAAGAAACATGGAAGATAGGATGAATTTAAGCTGTGGCTGGTAAATCCAGTTTATAGGCCACCATCCAAAATTTTTTTATCACATGGTATGGACCATTACACTTCGCAGATAACTTCTTGTTGATCCTTTAACTACAGTTTGTTAAGCATAAAGGTGAAGCTTGAAGTAAACCCAATCCCCAATACTCTCTCACTCCCATGTCTATCTGCATATTGCTTCGTCCAGACTCCAGCTTGAGCCAGATTTTCTGTGACTAACTGGTCTATTCTACGCCTTTCCTGTAATAACTCTTCCACTGCAGCAATGTTAGTCTGTTGGTATGGACACAGAGCTAACTGTGGTGGTTTGTTACCATATAATGCTTCAAATGGAGTCATTTTGATGGATGTATACAGAGTGGTATTCTACCACCACTCAACCAAACTAATCCACTTGCTCCATTGTTTATGCTGTTTATAAACCATAAAACTGAGATACATATCCAAGCACTGTTCTGTTTTACCCATCTATTTGTGGGTGATAAGCAGTACTTATCTGCAATTTGACCCCTAGATGTTTGAATAAGCTTTGTCAAAACTCATTTGTGAATATTGTCCCTATCTGTAACAATGCCCTGAGGCATTCCATGCAGCTTATGTATGTTATATAGGAATAACTTGGCAATAGTAAGAGCTGAGGAGGAGGGTATCATTGTAATAAAATGTGCAAACTTAGTAAATCTGTCTACTACCATTACAATGAGTCAATGACATTCTTGGCTCCAGAAGTGGGAAGTCCCTCGATGAAATCTATAGAGATGTGGCTCTAGGTATAGTGTGGTTCTGGCAAAGGTTGTAATAAACCTGGGTAGGCCACACGATCCCCTTTACATCTTTGACGTGTCAAACTCTAGAACTTCCTGCTTAATTTCTTTGCTCATTCCTGGCCTCAAAAAAATATTGCTTAGCCATGTGAATACTAGCTTGTACCCCCTGAATGCCCTCCTCTTGTGATGAATGGATGGCTGCTATCAGTTTCCTCCTCACTTCACCATATGAACTAATATAAATTCTAGATTTGTATTTGAGCAATCCATTCAAGAATTGATAATCCTGCTCAACAGTGTTGTTGAGTAACAAAGCAGCAATCTTGCCTTTAGCTTATTTATCCGCTTGGTAACTGACTGTTACTTCTCCAATGCACAGTGGAGTAACTTCATCTATTGCTAAGCACTCAACTCCCTTCTCCTCTCCCTTACATGGAGCATCTACTTCTTTATTATTCAATCCTTTCTTATATCTTATCTCAAAGCTGAGCCCCATAAGTTCGGACAGCCACTTCTGTTGCAAAGGAGTAGTAATCCTTCGCTCAAGTAGATATTTCAGTGACTGATGATCTGTTTTGATGATAAAATTTTGGCCATCTAAGTAGTACCTCCATTTTCCAACTGTTGTTACTAGAGCTAGGAGCTCTCTCATAGATTGATAAACCCAAGTTCCTTCTGTTTATCACTTTGCTTAGATAGGCTATTGGTCTCTTATTTTACATCAACATCGCTCCCAATCCGCAATAGCAAGTATCAGTTTCTACAATGAATGGAATGGAGAAGACTGGTAAGGCCAGCATTGGTATAATATTCATATCTCTGGTTAATCCCTAAAAAGCCAATTCAGCAGACTCACCCCCAATTGAAATTCTCCTTTTTCAAAAGTTCAGTTAGTTTGGCTATCGCTCCATACCCCCTAGCAAACCTCCCATAATACACAGTTAGGTCTAAAAAACCCCCTAGTTTTTGACATTGACTAGCTTAGGCCACTCCTACATTATAACGACCCAAATTTTTACCTTTGGAATCATTATACATATTCTGTAAAATGATACTTTCATAAAAAAAAAAAAAAAACACTATCTTTTGAATGTGAAATGTTTAAAAAAAATTTTAAAAAAAAAAAAAAAAAAACACTATCTTTTGAATGTGAAATGTTTAAAACAAATTTTAAAGAAAATACAATAAACATAGTTAAAAATTGTTTACTACTTAAATCATTATTCATTTTCAACCACAAAGCACAATCCACCTCCGATCGCCTCGAACCCCCCTCTTTTAATTGCGTATAAAATATTTAACTTATACATGTGAGACAAAAATCTCAGTAAATGACTAATAACGAATTTTCATCTCATATTTAATTATAGCAAGTCATAACATGCATATGGAGACACGAGAATTAAAATCCGAACTTCGTGGCTATAATTCTCGTGCGTAGCGCTACTAAACTCCGGTCATTTGAACTTACACATATAAGACCCTTATCATAATCATATCTAGAATTTTCGTATCGTCATATTCATAATATAAATTTCTGTAATTTAAATAATGAAAGAACAATTTGTACTACTACACTTACCTTTCACTTGATAATTCAAAAATGATAGAAAAAGTGATTGTTGGAGAGAGATCCTTGAGCCGCGTGCCAGATTGTGTGATTGTGTAAGTGTATGACTAAATTTAATATGAGAAAGACGAGAAAGAGTAAAGGTGTAAAGACAAAGTGATATAGATAGAGAGGAAGAGAGTAAATAATTGGTGAAGGATAGTCCAATGTAGAGTTTAACTCCTATTTATAGTGTAAGTTCTTGGACCATGTATGGAAAATTGAAAGGAAATGGCTAAATGTTAGACATGGTCAAAACACAATTGGTTCATGTCTTGAAAGTTGTCAAATCAATTCATTTAATCATGTGATCAAATCAATTCACTTGACTTGAATCTTGGTGTAAATAATGCATGTGGTCTAATCAATTACCTTAGTTTATGTGGTCAAAGCAATTACTTTGCTTAAAATGTGATGAATAATGCATGTGATCAAATAATAACTTCAATCGTAGCTAATTGACATATTTACATATATTTTACATATAATTTTATTTAACTTCCAAATTAACTCGTCACTTAGGCTATCAAACTATTGGTTAGTAACTAATAAGATCATTAGACTTTAATAATAGCGCACTTAAGTTCTAATTTTTAATCTAATGACTAATAATAAAAATTCGAGATATTAAAAACTACCTCCCTTAAATTAAATTTTGTCTGCAAAATTTTCCTTGGAACTCCTTGAAGAGTTGTGGGTATTTGGCTCGCATTTCCATTTCTCGCTCCCAATTAACTTCTTCTACTGAGTGATGTTGCCATAACACTTTAACCAACGATATTTCTTTGTTGCAAAGCTTCTGTACTTTCTGAGCTATGATGTATATTGGTGCTTCTTCGTAACTTAGGTTCAGCTGAATATCTAACGATTGATGTCTCACCACATGAGTTAGGTCAAGGACATACTTTCTGAGCATTGATACATGAAAGACATTGTGTACAACGGAAAGTTCTGGTGGTAAGGCTAACTGGTATGCAACATTTCCAACCCGCTTTAAAATTTTGAAAGAACCAATGTCTCTTAGACTGAGCTTACCCCTCTTACCAAATCGTAGCACCCCTTTCATGGGTGTAACATTTAAAAGTACTTTATCTCCTATCGCAAATTCCAAGTCCTTTCTCCTTTTATCTACATAATTTTTCTGTCTATCTTGAGACTTCTTCATGCTAACTCTGATATTTTCAATTGCTTGTACTATTTGCTCCACAATTTCTAGCCCAAGATCTTACGTTCGCCAACATCATCCCAATGAATAGGCGATCTACATTTCCTCCCATAAAAAGTCTCATAGGGTGTCATGCCAATAGAGGCATGGTAGCTATTGTTGTATGCAAACTCAATTAAAGGTAGATGCTTTTCCCGATGTCTACCAAACTCTAGGACATACGATCGCAACATATCTTCTAATGTTTGAATTGTCTGTTTAGATTGTCCATCAGTTTGAGGGTGGAAAGTTGTCCTAAAGGTCAATTTAGTTTCCATGGCCCGATGTAAACTCTTCAAAAGTTTGATGTGAACCTTAGGTCCCTATCAAATACAATTGAAATTGGGGCACCATGTAGTCTCACTACTTCTTTAACATATAACTGTGCAAATTGGTCCATGAAAAATGTCATGCGAACAGATAGAAAATGGGCGGACCTGGATAAATGGTCGATAATAAACCAAATAGCCTCGTGTCCTTTTACTGACTTCAGAAAGCCTACAACAAAGTCCATCGTCACACGCTCCCATTTCCATTCTGGAACTTCCAACGATTGCAACAATCCTGATGGTCGCTGATGTTCATCTTTCACTTGTTGACATATCATACACTTCCCCACATATTTAGCTGCATCCCCTCCATATTTTTCTACCAAAATACAGCTCTTAGGTCACGATACATTTTTTACTTCCTGGATGCACAAAATAAGAAGAGTGGGCTTCCTCTAAGATTTAAGTTTTCAATTCTTTGAAATCTGGTACACATAGGCGTCCTTGATAATGAAGTGCCTTATCTTCAATTATGGCTAAATCTTTCCATTTCTCTGTATTAATCTCAACTTTGATAAACTCATAAAGGATTGATGACCTTTTTGATGGCTCTTAATCCGATCATGGAGAGTTGGTCGAATTGAAAGTGCTGCCATTCGAGTAATAGAATCAAAGGGGAGTAGCAACCACTTTGAGACTTAATCTCTCAAATTCTCTTTATAAAGGTTTTCGTGTTGTTAACATTGCTACTTGCCCCGTTGTCTTCCTACTTAAGGCGTCGGCTACTACGTTTGCCTTTCCTGGGTGGTAATGAATTCCACAATCGTAATCTTTTACTAGTTCAAGCCATCTTCTCTGTTTCATGTTCAACTCCTTTTGGGTGAAGATGTACTTGAGGCTTTTATGATCTGTATAGATGTCACACTTCCCTCCATACAAATAGTGCCTCCAAATTTTCAGGGCATGAACTACCGCAGCCAGTTCTAGGTCATGTATGGGATAGTTTTGCTCATAAGGCTTCAACTGTCTCGATGCATAAGCCACTAATTTGTCTTGTTGCATCAAAACACATCCAATAACCCAGTTTGGATGCATCACTGTATATTACAAAACCTTTCGATTTTCTAGGTATGGTTAAAACTAGAGCATTGATTAACCTCTTCTCTAACTCCTCAAAACTGCATTCAGATTTCTCTGACCATTCAAACTTTACACCTTTATGAGTTAATTGTGTTAATGGTCAGGATACTTTGGAGAATCCCTCAATAAACCATCTGTAGTATCCTGCTAAACCCAAAAAGCTACGAATTTTTCCCACAGTGGTTGGCCTTGACCAATTCAATATTGCTTCTACTTTACTGGGATCCACCTCTATTCACTGTGCTGTGACCATGACCAAGAAAGACCACTCATTCTAACCAAAATTCGCACTTCTTGAATTTTGCAAAAAGTTTTTCCTTCCCGAGGATCTCTAGCATAATTCTCAAATGTTTTTCGTGCTCTTCTTCACTATGAGAGTAGATCACGATGTCATCAATAAATACAATGACAAATTGGTCCAATATTCATGGAAAACGTGATTCATCAAGTCCATGAAAACTCTAGAAGCACTTGTCAAGCCAAACGGCATAACTATAAACTCATAGTGACCATATCAAGTTCTAAAGGCAATCTTTGAGACATCACTAGATTTCATCCTCAACTGGTGATATCCCGAGCTTAAGTCGATCTTTGAAAATACTCTGATACCTCGTAGTTGATTAAACAAGTCTTCGATTCTAGGTAGGGGATACTTATTTTTAATGGTGATTCTATTCAATTCTCAATAGTCGACACATCCTCACTGTCCCATCCTTCTTTTTGACAAACAACACTGGTGCTCCCCATGGTAAAACGTTGGGTTGGATGAACCCTTTTCCCAACAATTCCTGGCCTTCAGTTCCTGTAATTCCTTTGATGTCATTCTGTAAGGAGCCTTAGAAATGGGCGTGGAACCGAGAACTAGATCAATCGTGAACTCCACATCCCGTTCCGGCAGCATTTTATTCAAATCACCAGGAAATACCTCTGGGAACCCTCTTACCACCTTGACATCACTCACTTTCAGTTTTTCATCTTCTTTAACTACTATTGACATAAAAAATCCACTATAGCCTTCTGATTTCAAGAGTTTCTTAGCCTTCAATGCCGTAATGATACAAGGTAAAGTTTTTTTCTTAGTTACAGAAAGACGACGTTCCATTTCTCCAGGATGGTTAAATGCCACTACTCATTCAAAACATAGAATACTTGCGTGATTCTTAGACAGCCAGTCCATTCCCAAAATTACTTCAAACTCTTGCATGTTCAAAACATATAAGTTTGCTTCTAAGAATTTATCATCAATCTCTACCCTAGCTGTCCTTGCTATAGAGTTTGTACCTAACACTTCTCCTGAGGGCATAACAACTTCTAAGGTAGTATTTATATGTTCACTAGGCATATTGAGTTTGTTCACAAACTTTGGAGATATAAAAGAATGAGTGAAGCCAGAATCAATCAAAGTATAAGCAGGGGATCGAGATTTAAGGATGTTACCCGCTAAGACGTTGCGGTTCTTGTCCTCTTCCTGTTCTGTTAGTGCATACACCCTAGCTTGGCCTCTAGGGAGATTCCCACGCTTCTGTTGTTGCTTTTGT